GATGCTTTCTGTAAATCGCTCAATGAAGGTATAAAACGGTCTCGTCAGTAGGGATGGCACCTTCAATCAACGATGACAGTTAGCGAGGTGACCTGTTTTTCACGAGCAGGGACAGCTAAAAGAAGACGGGCCGGTTTTCTTCACCAGATACGCAGACGATTCAGGAGGGCATGTGCGAACGGACTTGTGAGTTTGACAGTGGACCACAGTTCAAGGCTCTGCTCAGTAATGCGGTTCCGGCCTAGTGAGTCACTTCGCAGATCGTTGAGTTCCTAGGCTAAACCGTCAATGCAGCGATTGATGGCCAAATTCACGACCGAGCATGGTGACCGGCACATCTTGACGTGACTCACTTTCCTATCGGCCCGGCTGATCGACCTCAACGACCACCGGCTTTGTTCATGCTGGTCCAAGGCTCAGTTGATCTGGGATCAAGGGCACAACATAACCGGGGGAGGGAGGTGAACAGTCAAACCACCAGCTGAAACCTTCATTCTCGTATTGTAACTCACTCAAAAGTACTTTCATTAGCCTATGCTGAAATCAAACCATTCAGACTGAATGGGATTGTGAAAGACCGGATTCAAAAGGTGACGCATGATGGCTGAAGAACCAATAAAATTTGTTGGAGTACCGGTACAATGAGACTGGTGGTTTCATTTGAAGCTTGAAACGCATAGTCATGTACTAGAGGCATCTTCCTACTCCCTATCTAACATAGATCTTGAACTGGTCACTCAATGTCCATTCTTTCGCTTGTTTATCTTAAGACAGCCCATTTGCGAACCGTATTTTGACTACCTACATAAACCGATGTGAAAAGCTGCGATTATGGCCAAAAGCCATCTGTGGGAACCAACAACAACCCTTGGTGCTGCATGATTCTGATATTCTTTTTCTTAACTTGCATTTATCGTGTGCAATCATGGCGTTCGTAAGTGCAGTCGCTTCAACGGACCACATTCTCGACGCGTTGCTTCTCATTTATCGGTCAATTGTATCGCGGAGATCGAGACACCCCATAACTTGAGCCACGCTGTGTTTGTTAACTGAATGCCTCTCGCTGGTACATGAAGATGTCAACCTGGTTCTTCTCATGCTAATAACCCAGAACGACGAATATGTTGACTTCTTATGTGAACATTATTCAGTTGCAGATGCTGATAAAATGACAATCAAACGATATATGGAATGCATTACTAAGTTCTTTGTGAGTAAAAGGATCGAGTTAGTAAAAACCGGGTACAGCTCGCGATAAAATGTTGCATCCCGACAGCCTTTTGGATTATCTCGATTGATACATGCATGACCATCGCCATTAACGGGAATCTAAATGACAACCAAATGATAACCTGAAATTTCATTAAGTTATCTCCAATATTAACGAAAATATGCCTCAAAAAAGTAAATTCTCACCACGACGAAAGTATTGCTCTCAATCCGCCCCCCCCCCCGTAGAGTTTACCCACTTAAACCGCTTTATTACTCCGTATAAGATTTATAATCATTGCCGTGTCGATATATTTGTACCCCCCAATGAAAAAGGTTTCTGATTGACATTTTGTGTGGTAAAATTTTGCGTGTTGATACACCTTTCGGGTAAGAATAGTCCAACTATTTTCTATTGGATTTAAAACCTGGGTTGTACGCAGGCCGTACCACTGTTTTAATGGGTCCTCAGACCATGCCCTTATTAAAGTGTCCCCAAAGGTATACAGCAAGGCCAATCACA